GGAGGTCGAGGTCCGGGGCGGAGGTCGAGGTCCGGGGCGGAGGTCGAGGTCTGGGGCGGAGGTCGAGTCTGGGGCGGAGGTCGAGGTCTGGGGCGGAGGTCAAGGGCGCGCCCGCCAGCCAGGCGGACGAGCTTTCTCGCTCTCTGAATCGGGCTCCAGTGCGTTCCTGCCCCTGGCAGGAAAGAGGGGACCCCGGTCGCGGCTGAATCGGGAGACCCCGTCGGGCAACAGGCCGACTGGCTGCGGAGGCTGCTTCGCCTTTGGGTCTGTCACCCACCGGAGCTCCAGGGCGAGGCTCACTCCCGGCCATTCCCACAGCGGGACGGCCAGGGGACGGGCTCCCACATCCGGCACGAGACGGGGGACGCTCATTTTCAGCTCTAGAAAGTTCTGTCGTCCTTAGATGAGATTTTCAGGTCTTCAAACTGAGAAAGCAAGTCCCGCGGGCCAGTGCGAGCGTGTGGGGACGTGCCAAGGCCTGCCCACGACGGCCTTGCTCCGGTCCTGGGCCGCGGCTGCCGCCGTCACCACACGCCTCCAACAGCACAGACTTCTCACAGTGCAGCTCTAGAGGTCAGCAGTCCGGAGGGGACTCGAACCCGGCGTCGGCAGGGCTGGCTCCCTTCCACAGGCTCTGGGGCAGAGCCCGCCCCGCGCCTTCCCAGCGTCCACGGCTCCCGGAGCCCTGGGCTCTCGGCCACGTCACTCCAGCCTCTGCTCGGCCATCATGGCCGTTTCCTCCGGCCTCCTTCTCCGTCTACGCACTGACTCCATCCGTACACACAGAACGACGTCTGCGGAGGACGTTGTCCCCGCTCCACGGGGACCAGCCGTTCGGAGCTGGATGTGTCCTTGGGGCCACCTGTCGCCCCACCACCAGGGCCAGCAGCCCGTGGGCGTTCGTGGAGTGTCAGGTGTCACACACCACGCCACACAGCGCAGAGGCTCACGGCGACCTCGTGTGGCAGGGGGCGTTCCCAGCCTGCGGGGAAGACACACAGGCCCGAGAGCGGCCCGGCCTGAGGTCGCCCGGCCAGCAGGAGGCGGACAGAGGAGACCATGGGCCGAGGGCTCCTGGGCCTCACCGGCCATCTCCGCCAGTCCCAGCCCGGGCCATCTCCTCTCGCCCGGCCACACAGAGCGGTGACGATCCCCCCACCGGGACCTCCCTCTGTCTGCAGGGCCAGCTCTGGCTATGGCGAGGACCCGCGTCCACATGCTGAGCTGGATGACTCAACACGGGCCGCCCCCCCACCCCGATTCTGAGCCTCCAGCTGGCACCGAGGCGGGTCTCTTAGATTAAGTCTCGTATTCATCAGCCTCTGAGAAGTATAATTGGGCTTTTATGGAAAATCAGCTCGTTATGCAAAGTACAAGTGCTGTAAAAATGATCATCTTTTTAAAGGAGCACTTTGGGCTCCTCTCCAACCATGACAGAAATGAGGAAGAGATTCTTCGGAGCTGCAGGCTCGGTTTGTGGGGTTTTGGAAAAGGAAGGGGTTTGGCCAAACGAAAGGTTCCGCTATTCCCACCACGGTAAATGCCGTTAGCGCAGGGCCCACTCAGCGCTCCGTAGTGTGGTGACCCCCCGAATGTCCAGCTACCTGTGGCACTCCTGCAGCCGTGCGGCCGGTGACAGGTCACCCAAAGTGCTCGTGCCGCACGGGGCAGCCAGAGGACACTGCTGCCCGTCGCCCGAGCTCACGGGGTGAACTGCGTGAGGTGACAGACAGAGGCTGTTCCCAGGGGCTCCG